CTTTGTGAACCACACGTGTCACGAGAGTTTCTCTGTCGAACGGGGCAAATCTCACAATCAACACATAGTAAAGTAGGACAATTACTTCCCATGATCTAGACTCTATGCTCTGATCATGCACTCCAAATAGTATTTGCCTTCTGAGCTGCACCTCACTGCTGACTCACATTTAACTTGTAGTCAACAGACACCCAGTTCTTTTTCACATCCTAGGCTTGTGCCTCTCATATCCAGGTACAGAACTTTACATTTCTCCCTGTTAAATTCTTATTTATTTTAGCCCACTGTCAAGCCTGCCTAGATCTTTTTGAATCTTCTCTTTCAACTAAAGGAAGAACCACCTCTTCTAGCTTTGGGTTATCTGCAAATTTGGTAAGTCTCTCTTCAACTCTCTCATCCAAATCATTGATAAAAGTGTTGAACCACACAGGGCCCAAAACACTGTGGCACTCTGTGGCTCCTGACTTGATCCTTCCTTTAAGTTGAAGTGGAGCCATTCATGGACACCATTTGATGCAATCATTCAGCCAACCATGAGTCCAGTTAGTAGTAGGGACATCTAGTCCATATCTACTATTTTATAAGGGAGATTATCATGAAGAAACCTGTTTCTCTGAGGGAAACCAAGAGCAGGCATTTTAATTCATAGGAGGAGCAGGCACTGTCTCCAGCAATAGATGTGGGATATTGCCAACGTTGGGCAGGTCAGACTTTGCATGGAAAAAGACCCTGGTTTGACTTTGCCTCAAGTCCTGGGAAATGATTTATTCAGTTCACAGCTCAGCTAGTTAACTGAATTACCAAGATTAGGCAAAAATAACAAATCCTCATATTTCTTATGTGTTCAGATCCGTAGCTAACAGAATTTTCCCCAATTGCACCATACAAGAAGGTAAGAAGTTAACCAAACAATGCAGGAATTGAAGTGCAGGAAAGGACTAGCAATTACATTGTATAGTTTTCTGCTTTTATTATAGACTTTGTTTTTAATCCACATGAATGTTAAAGAAACTACAACAGAGTTAAATACCTTTGTTTTTAGTCTGAGTGGTTATATTTTTTAATTACACTCAATCATACATTGTAAAATATTTCCGGAAGAGTATCGTCTTCATTCATACAGCAAGCAAAGTACCAGGAGAGAGCCTGGAAATAGAAGGAAGTTGTGAGCACTCTTGTAATTTCCAGTCTGCTTTCAGAAAGCGCCGGATATGGCTAATGCATTTCCATCCATACATCCAGGGGTCACTCTCCCCCACGTCTGCCTAGACCACACTCTGTAGAGGAGTCGTTCTACAAAAGGAGAAGAACCAAACTCTCAGACGTTTTCATGGCATTGGAGTCGGAAGCACCGGGAGATCCTTTGCCTGGGTCGATCCAGATGGCCACAGCCTTTTCACATTCTATCACATTCAGGAGTCCTTCTAAAACACCGAACCAAACTTTGGTACCATCAAAAAGAGCCAAGACTTCTTTCCAGTTTTTAAATTTTCCTTTTGTTTTTTAAATTAATAAATGGCTGCTACTTTCTAATGTACATGGTTGTCCATAAAGCTTTGAGGCCGCTTGTCCTTAGAAGAGCTGTTTCCATTTTTATTTCGTCCTTGTTGTTTTTCTTAAATACTCAAGGTCCTTCCATTTTCAGTCTTCAGATACATCCAAACGCAGAGTGATGGGTAGTATCTTACAAGAGGATCTTGTGGTCCTGCTGCAAGGACAGAGAAAAGGAAACATTAGAAAACTTTGAGGCCACCAACTGGAGCTGATGATATCGCTTAAAGCCCAGCTAGGTGGCAATATCTAGCCAACCTTGACTGATCTCCAAAACTAAGTGGGATTAGATCAAGATAGTACTTGGACAGGAGGCCACCAGAAGATCCTAAGGCCATAGACTAGGGGGGCTTCAGCAAAACTTTAGAAGGTGGCAATGGCAAACTAGTTTCACATTACAGCAGTGAAAGATTCATGGATGTGTCCATGTACATCACCAAGAGTCATGTTTGACCTGACAAAATCTTTCCTTGGCCCAGCTAGATAGCAGCACCTAGCTAACCTTGTTTGAGTTTAGAAGCTAAGCAGAATCAGAATACTTGAATGGGAGCCCACAAGGCAACCCCAATCTGTAAAGTTGAAAAATATCCCAGAAGATAGCAATGGCAATCCACTTCCATAATTTGCCAAGAACTACATGGACGAGGAGCAAGTGGTAACCATGGCTGGGGTAGGAGGGCTTTTCATGAATTCAACTTGTATGCCAATTGTGCCCATTCCTAGACTGGGAGGCCCTGCTCATAACAACTTGTACCCTAGTCACTTCTTGTTTGGACTACAGCAATACACTGTACATGGGGCTGCCCTTGAAGACCACCCAGAAACTTCAACTGGTCCAGAATGCTGCTGCGTGAGCTGCACTGGCTCCCAGTTTCTTTCCAGATGCAAGTCAAGGTGCTGGTTATCACCTCCAAAGCCCTGTATGGCATGGGTCCAGGTTATCTGAGGGAGCCCTTCTCCCTGAGGACATCTACCTGTCCTACAAGATTGGATAAGGGGGCTCGCTCCAGGTCCCCTCTATTAAATGTTGTCCTCTTGTGGGACCTGGGAAGCAAGTCTTTTCCATGGCTGTGCCTACCAATGGAACAGCCTCCCCTGAGATAGGAAGAGCCCCCTACCCTCTTTGCCTTCTGGAAGACTGTTCAGCTCCGGCTATTCCCTTCGTGCTGGGTCAGGATGAGAGGTGAGCTCAGCATTTTTTGAGAGGCACTATTATGCTGCTAGCGATGTGCTAGAGTTTTCATCTTGTGTTCTTACTTGTGTATTTGTTAGCCAGCTAGGGTTGTTTTTCAAACTTGGCAACTTGAAGATGGGTGGACTTCAACTCCCAGAATTCCCAGCCAACACCAATTCCGGGAGTTGAAGTCCACCCATTTTCAAGTTGCCAAGTTTGAATAACATCGTTTATTATATAAAATATATATAATATAATACAGGTGACCATATAGAATTTTCAAATAAATAAATAATAAATGCAGTCTCCAGGACCTCAGCTCAACTTGAGGGCATCCTTATTTTATATGACTAAAATCGTGAATTTTACTTAATCCATTTTAATTAAAAACCTGACAGTCACAAGGCAAAGCTCAAGCCAATCAATGTGTCTTGAATGGGGGGAGGGGGGAAGTGTCTCCACTTTCACAATATAAAATTATAATAAACATATCATGTCTTTTTCAAAACGTGTTAGCGGATTTACATCAAGCATATAAACGAGAATGGCAAACCGACTGGCAAAATGAATCCAGTACAGTACAGCTTTATCTGCCTCATTCACTGGTGTCAATTCCAAGAGAAGAGCCCTTATTGCCAGCCGTGGCCCTAAGGCTGCTGTGTGGGTGGGATAGGAAGTGAAGATGAAAGCATCACCGATCTTTTCGGTCCTTCTGACCCTGAAGATGGCCTTTGTTTCTCGAATTGCACCCGAACAGGATTTGCACAGAAGATGCCAACAGACGGCTCCCTAAAGCAGTGTTTCTCAACCTTGGCAACCTTAAGATGAGTGGACTTCAACACCCAGAATTCCCCAGCCAGTAAGTATTTTGGTGTCCAATCTTCAAATGTGGGCAAAACGCTCACTGTTTTGACCATTTCTGCAATTTCCCCTAAGTTATGCATTATTTTAATGAGTGCATTTTGGTACATGATTCATTACCTCGTGCCTAAGTGGCTAAACAAGATTACAAAGTTCTGAGAACTTTGGATTTCATATGAACCCTCGTTTCGGTTGGTGGAGTCATTCAAAAAAGCAAAATTAGGTAAGTTGGCACTCAATGCAAATAAAACACATTGCTCCCCCCGTTCCCTCCCCAAAGTGTAATGATCAGCCGGAGCAAAAGTAGTCCTATTCCACCCTGTTGAAAACTTTCCAGGGTAGATTGAAGCTGCAAGCTGCACTGCATTGTAACTGGGACTGAGGTATGTACCAGGGCTAAAATGACAAACCACCACAAATCCAAAATGGGCCATTTCTAAAAAGTAATTTTTCAATTTTCAGTTAATCTGAAAATCTCCAATCTGGCATAAATACATTTTTGGTTTGGGGAGCAAACCGAAGACAAGAGAATTGTTTCAGATTCCCGTGCACTTACAGTAGCTTCAGGCCACTTCTATGCTAAATTGTTGACTTGAGAGCTGAGTCCATTTATTTACATTTATGTAAATCTGTTCCAGTAATAGAGAATAGATGTAGCTCAGGGTTGAATTGTTGGGTTCAGGTGTACTCTGAGCTTGGTTGTTTTCCTGCAGAGATGTTGTTACCAAGCTAGGGAGCATCATTAGCGCATGGAGGATGGCACTTAGCCTGGTAACTTAATGCTTGCAGGAAAACAACCAAGCTCATGTAATTTTGCATTGATTCAACTGCAGTAAAACTGGTCTTTTTTTTCTTCCAGTGCTGGAGTTCTATGGAGCTTGAGGCCGGTCCACTACCAAGTACCCTTTCTTTACCACACCTCTTGGCTCCTGGCCCTAACAGATATTCACTTGTTCGTCCGTCCGTCCATCCATCCATCCATCCATCCATCCATCCACCCACCCACTCACTCACTCACTCACTCACTCACTCACTCTATACAGCTTCCCACTCGCAGTGGTGACTTCGGGTGGCTAACGTCAGACTATGAGCGGCAAAGAGAATATGAAAGCAAAGAGCTAAAAACGTACATCGAAGACCATTCACACATTAGCTAGTAAACCCCTTAAAGATGGGTTTACCTAACCCCCAGACCCCATGCCTTTCGCAATATCCCCCCCGGGAACTGCTCTGCTGTTCTTTCTGCGTACGATCGAACAAGTGCACCTAACATAAAGGCTAAGAATGTGGGGGGGGGGGGGGCGCATGCAAGCAATTTTCTTGTTTCCTTCACGTGTAGGTGAGGGGTTTTATTTACTCCAGGGCCCAGGGACAAGACAGTGAGTAAATGGCTGTTTGTTCTTAGCATTTCTGAGTCAGCAAAATGGAAAATGACTGCAGGTCATCTTCAAATGTTTTTTGAGAGATTGAGGGTTGAAAACCGCAGAATTGTGACAGTGTCTTTAATTTCAGCTCTCAGGCAGAAGAGCGATTGACTTCATCGTGATTGTTCAGCAGTGCCACTCAAAACAGTGGATTTATTCCCTCTACCTAATTCCTAGCTGTCCTAGATTGCAGGAAATAGGAGGAAAATACTATAAAAGGAAGCAACTTTTTTCTCGAATCCGCTTAAAACAAACGTTGCAGTCTTTTTCCACGCAGTTGATTTAGCTTCATGTTACAGTGAACTCTAATCTTTGAACAGCACTGCAGTCTGTATTTTCTTTTTCTTTTCTAACCCCCACTGTCTGCAGGGAAGGCAATCCAGCGACAACAGACACAGCGTGGGAAATGTTATTTACACTGTTATTCACTTCCTTTGCATATCTAAGCACGAGCTTTCTCTCACTGTCACCTCTGGCTTATGGATGTAGGATAATTCTGCTCCCTTGCAGGTTCAAAATCTTTGGGCCCGTCCAGAAATAAGAGTAATCTTGTTTACTACATAGAATGCATTTAATGTGTCTATGTCTACAGTTTAATTCCAATTCCATGTACATTCATATTAAATCAGGTCAGAATTAGCGGCCTAGCCCTCTCATTTGAGCAGACTGTGGCCCTTGCCACACCATTCAAAAATCCACTGATGCCCTCTGAAAAAGACTTCTCAAGTCCAACAGATAATTCCCACATCCAGAACCCTCTAGCAATCATTCCCAGCCTGGTGACCTTCCAGGTGTGCTTCCTCAGCCAGGGCTCTGATATATTGGGCAGAAGGAATAATCTTGAGGAACAGGAGGAAGAGCCGCAACCAAGACAAGGGTCAGATAAAAGAAACCCTAGCCTGAGGCAGAACTGTAACCTGAGAAAGTGTCTCAGACAAGGTCCTCCCTAGTTCTCACGAAGATAAAGAGAAGGAGAGAGGGAACACGTTCAGACTTGCAGAATTCTCTTACTATAATCTTATAATAAAAGCAGTATTAGCCTGCATGATTTTGGTTTCCTAGTCTGGTCTGCCTTGAAGGGCTGACACATACTTGACACTTTGAGGAAGGTAAAATGAGCCAAGAAACAACAAGACTGTATCTTTAGAATTAGGATATCCAAAGAAAGTAACCCATGCCTGAATCACCAACTAGTTGGACTACTGGAATGTACTCTACACGGGACTGTCTTTGCAGATGATTTGGAAGTTGGAGCTGGTACAGAATGAGGCAGCTGGACTGCAGGCAGGAAAATCTTTCTACTGCAGAATACACCAATTTTAAAATCTGTATTGGTTTCTAGTACAGATAGTCCTCGTTTAGCAACCACAATTGGGACCAGCAACTCTGTCATTAAACAAGGTGGTTGCTAAGTGAAACAGCAACTGTGCTTATGATCTTCCTTCAAGTTTCCTTTACTTTACAGAGCTGTGAAGATCATAAATGCGAGAACTGGTTGTAAAGTTAGTTTTTCATCACTGCAGTAATTGTGAATGGTTGCTAAACAAAGACTACCTGTAAGCTTCTGGGCCCAATTCATAGTGCTGGTCATTCACTATTAAGCCTTTTATGGGGTGGCATTGGGATCTATTGATTTTGCCCATCTGGTCTAAACATCTGCTCTGGTTGAAAGTCCCCCCATCTTGAAAGATATGTGGGGTGTGGGCTAGGCAGGAGGTCTCTTTAGTACTAGCCCCACAGTTTGAAATATACTTCTCCAGAAGGTTCTTTAGCACCATCTCTTCTTGCATTTTGCACGGCTGTTAAAGCTATGTTACTCCAATGTACTTGTGGTCTGAGTCGATGGTGGGCAACCACTGAGGTTTTCTGATATTATTGTTGTTCCTGCCTCTTTGTATTGTTTCTTGTATTCCTACTTTGTTGTTCACTGCCCAGAGTCTCAGTGGACTGGGGCAGTCCATATATATTATAAAATGGAGAAAAGAACATCAGCATTACACAAGAGATGCACCTACTCCAAATTCAATGATGGAATCACTGACTAGCAAATTGCAAGAGGTGCTAAATACAACTTCTAGAAAGGATGTAGCACTTCCAATGGGTGACTGGAATGCAAACACTGAAGAAATGGAAGAAGCTAGAAGGACAGCAAAATTTGGTAAACGGATCAATAGGGATTTGCAAAGACAATTCTCTGTTCATTGTTTACACCTGCTACAAGCAACATAAATGCAGATTCTACATCTGGACATCACTGGATGCACAACCTTGAAACAAATTGACTACATAATAGGAAAGAGATAGATGGAGGACTGCAATCCAGTCAGCCAGGACATTTCCAGGTGCAGACCATGGAGCAGACCATTAGTTATTAATGTGGACTATGTGGGCTAAACTAAGAAAATTAAAGTGAGTAGGTGTGCCAGCAAGATTTGATCTGGGGGACAGTCAATCAGAGTATAAATTCAATGGATTGGGTTCCTTATCCTCCCACCCCATCCAGGAGCAATGGGAAGAGATAAGAAATACTGGGAAAACTCAAGCAGAAGGAAATACTTCCATAATTTTAAAGGGGTAAAAGTCCAAATGGCCTTCAGAACAAGCTACTGCAATAACCAGTGATGGAGAAGGAAAGCCTTGCCAACAAGACAAATGTACAATGATTGACTGCAAACTTGGACATGGAAAGATCAAACAGAAGAAAATTAAAAAGAAAAGGGAAACGAGAGTTTTTTTTGAAGATCAGAGAAAATTTACAGCTAAGGTAGAACTATTCAAGAACAATTACAGAAGAGACCTAATAGAGGCAACTGAAGATGAAAAAACTATACTGACATCCTTTATAAACAGGATTGTAGAATAACAGCAAGATTTGTGGTGACAAGGCTATATAAGTGAGATACAGCAGGCAATATACCAGCTGTTAAGTAGGAAAACACCAGCTACAGATAAAGCAACCATTGATCTGTTTAAAGCTGCAGGAGAAGAGGCAGTTAAAATGCTAACAGCTTCACATCAACAAATGTGGAACAAGAATGTGCAGTCTGGAGATTGGAAAAGATTGTTGCGAAACACATAAATAAGAAGGGGAATGCAACAGAATGTGCAGATTACTGAACCACTGCATTCTCACACGAGCAAAGTTTTGCTTAAGAAGATTAGAGCCGTACAAGGAGGAAAAAAAAATGCCAGGTTCAGACATGAAATCAGATAGCTAACGTAAGATGAATAACGGAGAATAATTTAAGAAGACTTAAACTGACTACAGCAAGGTTTTGATCGTGTGCATCATACCAGAATGTGAAATTTACTGTGACTTCTGGCTCTGCCAGAACATGTGCTTACTCTTCTGAGGAATCTTTACAATGAATAAGAAGCTACTATAAGAATTGAGGGTTTTTTGGCGGGGGGGGGGTCAGAATAGGAAAGGGAGTGAGACATACAATCCATCTTTGTTGCATGTTATAACAAATAATTTGTTATTTGTAACAAATAATTTATTATAAATAAATAGCTTTCAAGAAAGGAAGAGACAATGACTGGAATCAAAACTGAAAGCTAAAATACTAACAGTTTGAGACATGAAACTACTTTATCTGCAAGTAAAGAAGGCTTTGAAGAACTCATTATGAAACATCAATGAAAAGTGAAAAATATTGGCTAATTGTTAAATACTAAAAAGACAGAGTGGATGTCAACCTGCTGAATTCACACTAGATATTTTTCTTTCCCTGGGTCAAGAATAAAGGTGGATGGTATGCTGGAGAAGGAAAGAGGAGATTAATCTTAGAGAGGAAGATGATAAACAAGATCATGGAGGAAATTCTATGAGAACAAGAATCAGAATAGTTAAAATGAAATCATTTTTCACTGCTGTGAAAGCTAGACATTGAGAATGAACAAGAGAAAGACGACACACACTTGAATTAAAGTTTTGGAGATGGTTACTAAGAGCACTATGGATTACAAAAGAACCAACCATCCAATGCTGGACCAAATAAAGGATGAGTGCGCCCTTGAGGGGATGAGCAGCAAGCAAAAACTCACATACTTTGGGGATGTCGTACAAGGTGATGATGGAATACCAAAAAAAAAGCACTTGGCTAGGTGGAGAGAAGTAAAAGACGACGACGACACTGGGCAAGGCAGATGGACATGAGACGGGAAATCACTGTCACGTACTTAGAATCACTTGGAGGAACTATGGATTATCCCTGAGAACAAGTCAAGATGGTGGGCGTTTGCACATACAGTCAACAGGTATCAGGCCCAGTGGAAGGATCTGGCCATCTCTAATGAAAGACCATGTTAGACTGAGTGCTGACATGAACTAGGTGGTGCTATACTATGCTTGGGGATGACACACATGGGCAGCATGCATGGACGGCATAGCATTTTCTCACTTTTTCCTTTTTTGGGGTGGAATCAATGGCTTTTAATTGTTTAAAGAGACTATATTAAAATAGTTTTAGGGTTTCCACTACGGTTGCTTCATAATTCTTTCCTCCAAATGGAAAATGGGCCATTTGATATTCAACTACATTTTACAGCAGGGTGAGAAGAGTCTCAGAGGCCACAGGAAGCTGAGTTCTTCTGCGCACATCTGATGCACATGAAAAACCTCAGCTTTGGAAGAGACTGCCAGAAGTTGCAGCTGCTGTACACGGTGCTTTGCTAAAAAGTCCGTAACCATGTGGCCAATAACCACATGGAAGTACTAAGACAGAATGTTCAACATTTTATTGTCTTATGGATGGAGCCAATTTGATTCTTTGCATTTATGCTTCTTAGCATTTCAGGTTTACCTGTTTTTTGGGGTTACAGTTCAGCAGGATTGTGAAGTTCTCCTGCTCAGAGATCTCACTGAAGTTCATATAGCAAGAACTCAATAGCCACGGGGCAAAATGTTTGGGGCCCATTCCCCACTCCTGCTAGCTCACCTTTTAGCTTTTGCTGAGATGTGTGCCAAGTTTTTCTTTCCTGATCAAGCTTGCTGCATAGGGGATCTGAAAGAAAACAGAGAAACATCTCACCAAGTGGCCGTGAGTAAGCAAAGAAAGATGAGATATCAAAGAAGGCATCCTAAAGCACAGAGTAGATGTTTGCTTCTAGAAATCAAGTAGGCAGTTATACCTATTAAGCAGATCACAAGACTGACTTGGATGAGAATAATGTGTACATATTTCATTTGAAGCGAGTAAATATATAATAGAAAAAAAGTGATTATCCTGTAGAAGATCATCATCTATTTAAGTAACCACTGCTGGCTGCAAAATGCCATTGAATGCCTGGTTTACAATATAGTACTTCAATCCAAGTTTTAACTTCTAGATCAGTGTTTCTCAACCTTGGCAACCTTACGACCTATGGACTTCAATTCCCAGAATTCCCCCACCAACCAAGGCGGGGTGGGGGGGTTTTGGGGTGGGAGGTGACCGGTAGTAAAGTTTCAC